AGAGTGTATATTTAAGAATCAGATCATGTTCAGAGAAATTCAGAGGACTGAAGAGGAGGCAGTCATGGCATATTATTACATGGTACAATCTTTGAATTCCCCTGAAGGGACCGAGTGCTGTTGCCTTTCCAGGCACAACAGCCATCTGCTCCCATAACAAGGGAAAGCTCCCAGTCAGTAAAATAAAATTAGAGACCTGATGTAAGAGAGGAGTAAATATCTAAGAATAGCCTCTTTATAATAAAACTAGGTGCTTCATCAGGTCTGATAAATATGAAATAACAGTTTATACACATGTATATTAATAACAATTTAGTCTGTTTTCAACTGGCTATGTACATCAAGAAACAAACTCATTTATCCTCAATAGAGGCACAGTAACTACTTGTAACAGCACCATTCACAGGATTCTAATAATATGGTAGTGAGTTTCTACTGTAGTACCAAATCAGCAGCATTTTGTATAAGGGAAACACACCTAAGCACACAAGCACTTACACTAGCCTATTTTTCTTAAGGGTATGTGGAAGAAGATACATCAACATCTCAGCAAATAATGCTACTAGACACATGGCATCATTATGTACATGTGCATGCAGACATACAACAACACATAGGTAAAACTGACAGAACTAAATATGGTATAACTATGACACAACACACTTTGGGATCAAAACACTTAAAACACTTACTTTTTCCAATGAGAAATGCTGTGAGCGTGCCACCGAAAATGTACATAAAAAATTAGAAACAGGAAAAAAATACAGTTAGTTAAAATAAAAATGTATTACAGAAAAAATAAACCAAAAACAATGTTCCAAGAAACATTTTGTTAGTTTAACAAAAATAAATTTCTGAGTGACTTTTAGATCAACTGTAATTATACATGCAGAGGTCTACAATGTTTGCTCAGCACACAGTGACAGAATATGCTACTTGCAATGAATTTTTGGAAAATATAACAACAGAGCAATATAATTCATTTAAAACCAGGTACATCTGCAAATGAAAAATTTCATATTTAAAAAAACACACTGTCACAATCTCCCAAATAGTATGCATTCAATGGTAACTGTACATTAGTACTGAAGCCCTGAAGTGTATAAGTTTTGAAAAAATGACATCCATACTTCCAGATATCTTGATCATAAATATTTACAGCCTCAGCATTGAATGTGACAAACCAATCTATTTAAGATACCACAAAATGTGTGAGTTCTATAAAAATACAGAACACATTTCATGGAAATATTAAGTTTTAACAGATTTATACAAATGTAAACTTCCATTCCTAGTTCACTAAACCTGACTTTCTGTTTAGTCACAATTTACATGTGCTGCTAACATTATGACATGGGCTCAAAACTGTTGACCTCTGCATGAATGTGTGTTAAAATTGGTGAAATCTAGGACACCATAACAAGAAACTGTGATGTGTGCTTAACATTTACTGTATTTAATTTTGTAATTTTATCCTTTTACATTTGAGATGAAACTGATTATTATTCAATAGTGTGATGGTGATATCAAGACAAACAGGATAGGGTGTACACTACACCACATGAAAAAACAAAAAAACTCATACAATGGTTGGTAAACTTCAAGGGCAAAGCTCACTTCCTTAGAAGGTTTGAGAATAAAAAGGATGTGGAGATATGAACTGGAGTAAAATGGTACAATGCTAGGCTTTTTTTGTAATAACAATAATCAACCTTCATGTTAAATAACAGGAAATTCTTGATCAGCTGAATAATTATGAATGGTTCATGAAAATCTTCTGCTAGTAACATTATCACCAGACACTGGGATATGAGATTTTAATGAGCTAGACATTTAGCTTGCTTGAGGTAAACAAACAAGCACATGAACTTCTTGGAAAGAGACCACTGGAAAAACTGAAAAAGGGATATCTGTGCCTAGTATCCCAATTCCAAAGGCAATATTCTCAAACTATGTGACAAATTTGCAGCATATTTTCATATACCAGAGGTAAAAGAACTGAAATTACAGAAGCAAATACAGTGCGATAAAAACTACTTTGTAGTAATGTATGACAGATTATACATTGAAACATCTGAGTGAATATGACAGATTCAAAGATGAAGACACAGAATACTATGGTTTCTAGGTTGATTTATGTTAACACAAATTTTCCGAATCTATATCATTATATAACACAACTTCCAAGCAATGCTTCATTTCTGGGAATAATTTTGCCAAAATTCCTTTATATAATCCCTTTACAAACTACATAGTATCTTTCAGATTGTCCTATGGACAATCCTTGGCTAAACCTGTGCACACCTTGAAGTGTTTATCCCTGCTAAACATTTACTTTGTGAATGTTGGAAACAGCAAGTCCGCTGTATGGTTGAGATCCCATACTGAACTGCAGGGTCAATCCCTGACCACAACTTCATATAGATTTAAGCCTATATGGTGTATAAAGCATGCAGCTGAGAAAGCATAATTAATTGAACAAATTATAAACTCATGTGCAGTCAAACCTCATTATACCCTGTAATTATACCAAAATCAAAATATCCTCAAATTGAAAGCACAGGATGCACTACAATACACAAAAAAAAAAAAAACATAATTCTCTTTCCTTCTCTCATAATTCCTCCCATTCTTTATTTTCCTACAGTTTAGTTTTATCTTTGTCTAAGAAGACATCCAACTTGAACCCCTTCCACTCACCCCCAAATGTACTTTGAGTGACTGGAATTATCCACAGCATAAGACTAAAGAAACAATCAACATATGAAATGACATCACTCTAACACTACTGTTACATGAACAGTATTAAGCCTTATTATTTACACATAATAAAAAAATTCCCAAATATATCCTTACTATTTGTTCCATAGCTAACAAATCAGAATCAATGAGGAGAAAATTAATCATTAATACCTTGCAGGGTTCCACAAAAATCCATTTGACCTTCCCATGAATAAATAAATTTTTCCAGTACACTAAAACTGGCAATAAACATTCCATTAATCGGTTAACCAATACCTACACATTTAACTAACATGTTCTGCCAAGCCTGGGATATCTCATATAGTAAAAGTTTACAGGAACATCAAAAAACTTGTTGTGTAAAACTTTGCAATTTAAAACTCACTACATTAAACTGTATCACATAAAACTTAGCAGAATTTTGCAAGATGTTATTTGAAAGTAAACAAAAATCACAAGAGAAACAAATCATTCAAAAGATGACAAAAAGAATTTTGAAGAACATTAAAATATAAAATTATATCTAATATTAAAACAACTGACATGGGAAATAGATCACTAAAGCAATTACCAAAAATAATTTTGAAGAACACAAAACATAAAATCCATTTGAAGTAATAAGAAAAAAAATCTGTAAAATACCTTTCCCTCCACATTCCAGGGGTCTTAGAACCAGAGCCGAGCGAAGCCAAAGAATCATCGAGCCTGTTCAAAATAAAGCTGTGTACGATGTCCAACAAGGGAGGAAAAAATAAAATTTTAAAAATTTGTATAAACATTTTAGTGAATGTTATAAGTTAGACAAAACATGCCTCTGATGTTTCATGTTACATGGTGACTGGCAAACAATAGAAATTAGCAAACCTAAATATGCAGTGCAGTTAACATGCCATTCAAAGTCATGCATTCACTGCACAGACATCCATCATCAACATGTAACTCAACCTTGTACTCTGTATGCTTATTTATTAGCTCATGCCTGCATATTAACCACAACCCTTCTAGTGACAAGATGGCAACCTGTGGTTTTATGGGACATGCAATTCCCATGAGCAAATCTATGAAGTATAAACCTACTGATATCACATACTCAGATTCCTATTTAAAAACTATTCTGAAGAACCTGCAACCACACGTAATACATACACATTGATTGTAATATGAGGCAGGCATCAGAACTGCAGAAAACATTTAGTACACAGGTATATACACGTAATACCTGTTAATTTTGGCTATTTGAACTTAACACCCAAAGAAAAGTTGATTCGATTAACAAGGGTAGCATACACTTTAAACCCTAGCCAATGACTAGCTATCAAGACATGGTTTTCATCAATCCCTGCAGGGAAATGTCACGATAGTAACTAAAGGCCATGACTGGTTTTTCTCCTAATTCATCATTCAAATCATGCTACCATAAAGCAAATGATGTTACATTCATCAGCAGTTAACATGGTGTTATTAGTTCTATTCAATTTAAATGTGTCTCAGGTTGATTAACAGTAAAATAAATGCAGCATTTTTAACTACAGAGATGACTAGAAAACAAACTGTAGTAAAATAAATGCTGGAAGCTTTTACCCGTAGTTCATGTAAAGCTCAAATTGAATTTAAAAAATTCCTTCAAAACACTTTGTCATCAGTACAAAAACTCTGGTAGAGCTGAATCACAAAAATATTTACTTTGTCTAGATGTGCAACAGTTATTTAAAACATTTTTGATGCAGTGCATATACAGTAAAGAAAAACAATGCATGCCTCTATATAATTACATGTCCGCAATATTGATTAGTTTTGACAAAACAAGACTTTATTAATCTGCACAGTGCAGTTAAATAGCTGCCAGCAACAGACTTACATACAAAACATACAAGTGTAAAGTCAAATGAAGAACATACAACGTATCTGAAAACTGCGTAATCCATATAGGAAGATGAGAATACTTTCATGAGACAAGTTGCAACCAAAATGGTTACTGAGCTATTTTATGTTTTGGAAGTAAATTGTCTCCTTCATTTAACTCTTTCCTTAAATGTTTTTAATCTTCCTCAATGCAATTACATTTTCTTATAAATCAAACTTTCCTTAACCTTTAAATTTCAAACATATTTTATTCCATACTATTTCCTTAAACAAATTTTGTACTTTACCAAACTTATGAACACATTTCACACACTACACGTCTGCTCTGTATCCCTGAAATTAGTTTATTAGTGGATAAACAATCAATATGTCATTTACTATTTTTTACGTCTTTGTATTTCTGTTCTCATTTTGTTTTCCCATAAATTTATACTCAGTGCCTTGCCCTTATGTAGCCTTATATATTTTTTCTATAGTCCTCTTGTTCAGTGCTGGTTAGCAAACAATATCACACCATAAACCCTACTCCCAAAAACTCAAAACTGTTCCTTTCTAGTCTCTAACTTCCCAAAGTCCATCACCTAGCAGCTAAAGCTTCAAAAAATCTTTCACAAATCATATTATAATATGAAAGAGAGCCAGAAGACATCTCAACTTAATAACAAAAATTCATGTAAACAAATGATTTGCCATAAAACAATACTGAAACACAAAATATACATCATTCTTAAATCCCCAAACACATTTCACAAATGCCCTAGATGTTAGAAAATACAATCTGGGAACCACTAAGTTAACCACAAACCAATGAAGACTAATATATTGCCCTGGTACTATTTCTTTTTTTCTTTTCTTTTTTGTCCCAATCTCATTATGAACCCCTCCTTACCTCTCTAACCCCAGTGGCTTGTTAGCATCCCCCATTTTACTTGCAGTTACTCTAATTTATTTATTTTACTGAATGGTTAGAACACACAAACTATTCACACTATTGTCTTAAAATTCTGTTGACATGCATTGCAAACATTAATCACACAATATGTCTATGAGTCACAGACAAGACAAAAACTCACCCAATTCTCATGATTCATGTGAGGTACATTAATTATCAAAAGCACATTTTATACAGCAGAAAAATATAGGCAGACTATGTGAACATAATTTTTTAACTTGAAAAAATTTCACCAATAACAGAGTTTATACAATACCATATAACTTGAGAGAACAGATTACAAAAGACCCAGCACTATTTTTTTAGTAATTTGGCCCAGGATTCATAATGTGCCCACAACTGCATTTTCTTTACCAGATGACAAAATGAGAACCCAGGTGGTGAAAAATTATGATTTTGTAATTCAGACAATGGAAAAAGTGCAAAAGAACAGTGTTTCACATTATATTTTAGTTGGTATCTTCATCAATATCTCAGTCATCCAAGAGATTCATTATTTATTTAAATTTTAATTTGTATTGATATGTCTCTTGTGCATGTTACATGCCCCACCATCTTAATGTTCATGCTTTATTTACTCTAACAATACTACGCAAAGAGTACATACTATGAGACCCCTCATTACTATTAACCCCCCACCCCACCCTTCTATTAATTCACTCCCTACATATTATCAGCAAAATCTGTTCTTTTCCCCCAGAGGATAATGG